TGCGTGTTTTCTAAACTGAATCGTGCAAAGTGGAAAATGAATTACCGTCTTTTTGTACGTATCATCTAATTGCTTGATGCTTTTGCAAATGACAAATATAAAGATAAACGTCATACAGATGCATTGTAATGATGCATAAAGATAGTTGAAAATTATCACGTATGCGCGTTCACAGAGGCGAACAAAAAATTCTTTCATAACTGCAAGGATGTACCGATAAAGTGGCAGTTGCACTGTAGATATCGAACTATCTCGTGCTGAATCATAATTAACTAATATGAAATATTGACGAGTGACCATAGTCATCCTTAGTAACGAAAGGGTTAATAGAATCCAATAGAGCTTAGGGTTTCATCGAACGATAATTAGGGAAAGACGGTACCGGTTAATGAATGGGAACTATGTCAATTGCCAACGAGGACTTGGTAAATCCGTCTGTCGCAATCCAATAAGACCTAATACATACCAAGAGTTTCTCCTCTCGAGTGTACCAATACACGTGGAAGCATATGCTCTGCTGCTCCACATCACCATAGACCCGTCCAATTCGCTTCATCGGTCACTCACCTATTTCCGTGGCTCGTTAATTAAACTCGTATTATCAAGTCGGATAAATTCGAAGATAATCCACGATACATCGTTCGCTATTAGCTTGAAAACGCTATCTACCTTTTTCTTTTGCTGAACGATGGAAGAGATGAATGTTGAATCGCGTGTACATGTTGATAGAATTGTGACCGGTCCATAAAAAAATTTTATGTGACCACGACAACGTTCGGTATTCAGTATTCTCGTTGTAAAATAAAAGCACATCCGTTCGATAGTAACGTGTAAGATCCCGTCTCCAAATCGCGATCGCAGCAATGTTCTTCGGACGACTGTATTTTTCTTATACACCCGGTACGAGAATAACAAGATGAGATTGAGCTGAGGTCACGATAAAACTAGGTGTGATGTTTCCGTGAATTCATTCCTACCAGTCATTATTCAACGATCGACTCGATCAAAGTACGATCGTGGATGGAAAGAAAATAATCTGTTCTGATGTTTTATTGTTCACTCTGATTTCATTATGATATCTCTTCTTTTAAAGCATTCCGCCACGATAACGAAATTAATTTTTCGACAGTAACTCTTATACATCTTTATGCGATAGACATACTCGAAGACAGTGTTTTTTCTGTCCTGTGTTGGCTTAGGTTAATAGTTTTTAAGGAAACGATACATTCGTTACTTCAAATATGGTTTTAATGATATTGAGGTATTAAGAAACACAATTAACAATGTGACTAAGTAAGAAATTAATAACCGAGGATAAGATGATGACTCTCCTTGAACAAGAGTAAATTATTTCCTACAGATAAATTTGCATTGTAATGTTTACGACATTGAATACTAGTAATTGTCTTGATTACTATGCTCGTGGTATTTCTTTTGAGTTTTCGCAGTTGCCCTATATTTCTTTCGACAGCGGGATATTCGGAGAAGTAATGGATTTGAAGGAACTCAATTTTTAAGAAAGCAAAGTGAAAGGTAGTAATTATCTATGCGAAATGAATTTGTTGATCTTATTTTTTTTTTCTACAAGCAAAAGCGAAATTAGAAAGTACCAAACTCCTGATGCTCTAGTAATTTAAATCGCTTCAAATATAATTAGGATAATAATAATTATTACATAAGCAGATGTAGATATTGCAAAGACATTAATTAATCATTATCGTATACATTCTTCTAGTATTTCAACTGTGATCGTTTTAATAATGAGATTAAAAGTACTGAAAAGAATATATGAGAGAAAAGAAGGAAAAACTTTATATTGTTCGTATTGTTGAAATTACATGCTTTGCCCGTCTCGATATGCAAATCCACCTTCTTGAATTATTACCACGCGTTTACAATCACCTTATAGTATCGAACGCACACGGCACGTGGTTGGTCTCGAATGTGTTAAATAAATATCTTATGGGAGCACGTCATCGTAACCGGTGGTAGTAACCCCATAGCATCGGTAGGGTTCGATCGTTAATTTTTACAGCTTTCTAGTAACCGTACCGATCTTAAATCCTTACCAAGCAGCTACAGTAACGCTGACGGTGCTTTGATTGTATTTCTTCATCGGTTCTGACGACTGCTCGTAAATCGGGAACACGAGCAAAGACGAAACAACCGAAACGAGGATATCGCGAATAATGAGCTATCACAAGAAAATCAGACACGTGTTTTAGAAAGGAGAACAAGTTAATTTTTTTTTGGTATTGCGCTTCCTTCTACCTGGTTTACTTGGTTCTTGCTTTATTATATGCTGACACACAAATTTTTATAAATAACAGTACATAGAAAGAACTTTGACATTATTATTTATTGTATTCTCACCAAAGAATTCTAAATCTTATTTAAAAATCCCAACAAAAAGTTGTTTTGGTTTTCTCATCATTCCGTTATGGGATTCCATGTCAAAGGTCAATATTCTTTTTTTTGCCAAGTCCAAAATCTTTGAAATGGACTTTGTACTGGTCAATTGAATTATTTTCCTCTACCTGTACCGTGAAACTTGATATTGACGTCACGTTGTCGCACACCATTACGTGTACAAATCAACGATGCAAAATAGTGTGATACAAAGGTCAGGAACGTTCAAGAGTCAGACAGTACATCGTTTACTTTTCAAATATACATTGAACAGAAATGTTTGACAATATTACTTCAAATCGTTACGTTTCTTCGAGTCTTGTATTATAATTAGTAACTTATCGAAAATTCATGGATGACTGTATCTGTTTTAACCGTACTTACAGCTTATTTTTTTTTTTTTTTCTTTCAATTCTGCAGTGTTTTCACGTTCTTTTTTAAAAAATTCGTTTCCTGTTTAATAATCTCTGTACTTAAATTTTTGTTTACCATGACATCATCGATTGCATCGAAGCGTATTCGTGTGGTTCGCGATGCTTACAAAATGACCGATAACAGAAACGAATGATTTTATTTGTAAATAGAGCGGTACCCCCGCAGCCAAAAGATTATCAAATCAATTTTCGATACTTTTCAAACGTTTAATAATTTTCGTGACCGGTGTTATCATCGTCGCATTACACTTTCTTCTGACCTTTTTATCATAATTAGAAGCGAGATCTTTCGATTGCTCCAATTTGTCTTACGGTTACACAACTCTTCCTGAACGAAGATTTTGACTTTGTTATCTGCATTACCTATCACTTTCCAATTTCTTTTTGCCTTTGTAAGTAATTAACCCTGATTTTTGCTATTCATTCAGACACTGCGCAGTAATGAAAGGGGATAGAGAATGAATTACAAATGAATTAAAATTGTTCAACGAATGTATTGTCTATACACGTATTGGACATATGAGAAAAATACAATTTGTCAATAAATATTGACAGTATTGACAATATAGGTATATTGATCGAGAGGTATATTTAGTTATGTCACTCTTCTAACAAATCGACAATATAAATCCGCCTCGATTCTTCATTCTTATTCGAAAGAACACCTATGTACCTACTTATTTCTTGCTTCACGACTTGTGACCATAGCGAAATATTTGCTCGAACAATCGATCGTTGCGGAAACAAACGACCGTACGGTGTTTGTTTCTTTCAACAACATTCTTTACGTGCACTGATCGAGACGAAAATAACGAACGTTACGTTAGAAATAAACGTTTTCCGATTCGGAATTCTAATATAGGACAGACAATAATAATATCCGTTCGTCGTAGAGTCGTGCCAAATATCACAGTATGCAGTGAAAGATTATGTTAATTGGAACATTCCAGTTGAGAAATATTCTTCATTTTATTATTTTCAATTTTGTTTACACTCGAGTTAGTCACGTAAAATCAGAGATCTCCTAGAAGAAGGTTAGAAGAAATGGGAACGAATCTTTAAAAGTATTCTATTCGTGAGTCATATCGAAGTAAGCAGAGCTGAACAAACAAGTAGTAATCGGCATTCAGTACTTATTATCTTACGAATTTTCAAGCAATTTCGCACTACTTTAATATATTTAATTAACAGCAAGAATTCTTGAAACTCTTGCAAACTTTAATATATAAACATTGTCGTTCTACGTATAACGGCTAGTAATTAAAAATTAAAACGAGTGATCCATACTGTCAGAGTTGTTTTTTATTTCGATTCAGTTACAGAGTCATTAACCCGTTGCCTTATAATATTGTGTCACACTAGTGACGCAACTTACAGTTCAAATGTGACAAATTTGGCTGGTATTTTTAGTGCGGTTAAATTTTAAGTTTAATTCTAATTATAATTTGCACGATCAAGAATCGTTAAACCCAAAGCATGAATAATACTTCAATTTTCTCCATTTATTTGGAGTTAAAAGAGAAAGTTAAAAATCACAATCAGAATCGAAGTTAAACGTATCAGTGCAAACATTTAGAAATAAATAAGAATATAAAATGAAACTTATATTATCGTTGTCTCAACGGTCTGCTGAGATTAAAATCGGTCATGTACATTACCATGGACAAAAAATGGCAAGATTTCGAAGAGCGATGCTCGCCAAATCTCGCTCGTTAAATCCAGAAATGAGATCAGTCGAAATACATCTATAATTAAATTTTCTGAACCAGTCGAGTCGCGTTTCCTGGCCGTTCTTTGGCTGTTGCATTGCCGATGCAACGTTGCATCGTTGCAAATCAGGCTACGAATTCGTTAATTATTCGCTATCGCTGGGAAACGGCAGTGAATATCGGGCAATAACGCTACCTGTCGCGATACAAGGTGACACACCACAAACGTCACGCAGGTTTCGCCGGTGTCCGCCGATCGTGGGATGCTGCCAACTAGCAAACTCCGGCCATCGGCTACCCACCACCGCTAGAATATTTCTAGTCGTCTCTCGTGCGACTTTAGTACGCTCGATCGTGTGTACGAGGAGCACGTATGCTCGTCTCGTAGCCCCGTCTCGTTCGCGATTTGTATCCTCTTTTGATCCATCGACGAATGTGAGCGAACAAGATGAGCGACAAAAGAAGGATACCGCCGAGAAAACGGCACGTGGAACCGTCGAATAGATCCAGGGAATTCCGAGAAATTGGAGAACCTAGAGAATCTATCAGGCAAACTAGAGAACTCCGAGAGACTAAGGAACCGAGAGAACTCAAATACACTAGGGAATCGAAAGATGTTAGCAGGGAATTCAGAGAACTTAAAGACAGTAGGGAGGCTAAGGAAGTTACCAGGGAACGTAGAGAACCTACCAGGCCACCAAGGACAAGGATGCAACAGGCTCGAGACAATGGAACCATCGATCGAAACGTGAACCGTGGTGCGCTGAAAATGTAACGAGCTTGACCCATTCGCGATTGTGAGAAATCTTAGCCAACCTCTTTCTATGTCAATGTCGACGAAAGAAAAGTATTTGGTCCCTTGCGTGTTCTGTCGCAATAAGTATTTAGAGCTGGACAGAACAGATGTGTGATCGAATTGGAGCTTAATTATTGAATATATGCGCTTTGGTGCCTTCGTCACCGAATCAAGTGATCGGGCATGCGATATCGTGTTAGCGAGAGTACAAGAAATTTTTAAAGAAAAAGTCGAAGTAATTTTACCTAAAGTAGTTAACTAATTTAATTAAAACTAAAATGTACTGATGAGCGGGCTATCTATTTGAGATAGAAATTAGGTTATTATTAAAAGCGATAGGAAACGATTGGTAGGATTCAGCTTCGATGATGGTTTTAGCTGAGAACGAAATTGGTGTATATATGTAGATATATATAATTAGAATCTCGAGAACGCAATAAATTCGCGATAATTGTAGGTCTGAGACTACAACCACGAAACGGGATATTCGATTAAATATGGATCGAACCGGTACTGAACTTTGAACCAGCAACGAGAACTTCAAAATGCAATTACGCGACGAAATAAGCTCTCGGCTGTAAGAGGGAACAGGATTTAGATTCTATCGAATGTGAAGGTTCGCCTGTGAGATTGGCTTGTTTCCAGAAACACGAAAACCCAACGGATTCGCGAAAATGAAACCCGGCTGTCGTAGCGTGTACACTTCAAGATACAATTGTGACGCTCGGGCATGAGAATCGAGTAAAATTTACGTCAGGAAAGAGAAATTGATTCATTAGCAGAAACCTCCTACCAGCTGGGTTATAAATTTAATTATCAATGGGGTAATAAGAAACGGGAACAAAGGATTAAATGTTTGAATAGCAGTATTAATATTATAAAATGAAATTCGAGCAAATTATTGACGTTTTCAATAGAAATGCTATTGTATTAATAATTGGAAATAAGAGATCGAGAGCTTACAGGATAATAATTTTTAATAGCATTGATACTCTATTAATAATATAAAGCAGGTTGAAAGCTTGAAGAATAAAAATTTCTAATGGCATTATTGTATCAATAACGTAAAATAGGAGATTAAAGCTTACATTGAGATATTGAATAACTACCTAATTATTCTAGTGAACAAAATGTTAATTCTTCACCTTGATTGTAATTTTTTAATTTTTTGTATTTCTGTAATATCAATAATAATAGAATTGGAAATATTTCTGACATTTACCGCACGTGTCGAAAATGAAAAGCGATTGATATTGTTTGTGGTGTCTCACGCGCTTAAAGACGTTAACGGTGAAATAAATGCAAATTCAAACATTTTTCAGCCGAAAAAGTACCGATGACGACCCTCGATGAGAACGTGAACCGTGTTCCACGGCTGTACACAAACGAATCAGCGGGTAAGTGTTGTTTTTCAACTCTTCTTGTAACGTTCGTTTGTCGTTTTGAAGTTTATGCTGTTTCGACAGCATTTATTGAAAATCTTCTGTGTTATTCATTATTTTCGAGTAAATAATGAATATGCTTTTTTTTCTTTTTTGCTTACTCCATCACGGAAACGCTTATCCGCACGCAAAAATGATGTCACTGTAAATATGCAACGAGGCAAAATAATATAATACAGTGGCAAAGTTCACGTTTCCTAATCGCGACAACCATCTATCATTTTTTGTTAATTTACGTTCATAGAATTGCTTCTTCATACTTCCTTTATTCATTTCTGCGTCCGTCTTTCGCTTATGTATTCAATTCATCAACTTGTAAATCGATCAAGAATAACATACATACTTTGTTTGATCATTTCTTTTTATAAAATTTAGTAACGCAGGGTAATTCTATTTTATTAATGAAATAGTAAGTACTCAGCATCGAGTGTCATTATTGAAATTTTTACTTTCTTATGCTTACTAATTATTAATTATCACATTAAGAAGATATACTTAAAAAATATAATTTGAATATCGTATACTTAATATTAAATAGAGTTAAAAATAATAATGTAGAGATCCACGTACTGAAACAAGTAATTAACTTTTTTATTAAAACAAGTATAATCCACAATACTACCTTCTTTTATTTTTTAAATTTCTAAAGGTTTTTTATAGTATTCTCTAACCGTAACAGTTACCTGTTCATTTTAAAAAGAAAAATTCATGGACGCTCTCTAGTCATTAAATGAATTGCTGTGATTTTCTCTCGACACGTTCGCTTTTTCTTTTTCTTTTTTTCTTTTTCCATTGGTTTCTCTCACAGTTAATCTAAGATCTTAAGATCGGTACAAATGTTTTGATTTTCGTATTATCATCATTTTTTAATTGTAAAATTCATAAACTTTCTAAATAACCTAATCGATGGAATAATATCTAAAACTAAAATTCTAATTCTGTGGAATTATGTAATTAGTTGTCCTGTTATTTCACTTTTTACTGTTATAAAAAAATTAAACGTGTTGCCGGTGAACGTGGTTACAGATTGCCAAGCTGGAATTCACGTGGTCGTTTTGCGTGAACACGAGCACGCGCTTATGTTTATTCATTGTAATTATTTATACGTGGTAAAAACAGTTGGAAATCGTGAGAGATTTCCACCTGCTTCACCGTTTAACGATATTCCCACGATGCACAGGTAATCGTATACCATGAAAACTGTGTTTAAAAACGAAAGTAAGTACTTACAAGGGTTCCTCGAAACCCACAAACAATTGTTTAACGATTACACCGTATAACAAATTTTTGATAATTTCTTATAACTTGCAATATTCAAAAAGTGATGATGAATATAATCGACGTCTTTCTCCGTTACCCTTAATTTTTCGATGAAAAGGCCAGATATTTTGTATTATTAATGATTATGAAACAGTAGACCTCTATCACATTTTATCAAGGACGCCCTGTAATTATAATAATTACATAATTATTACAATATCGCTCAAGTGTCAGTCTTACCCGATATAAAACAAATTTTCGGCTGGCTCATAAATTATGTGTCCATCATCCGTAAATGAAATAACGTGTTACAACGTTCTTTCGTGTCGTCGCTGCTTTAGGAAAAGCTATCAGTTAATGGATGACGTAAAGAATGTGCAAATATAATTAACCTCTTCACGCTGGTACTTGTACTCGATACATATCGACGTCAATGATTTATTTACTGTAACGAAATTGACGATTTATTTGATAAAGCTTTATCTTGTCGAGTAATATCAAGCACACTTTTCGCTTCCCACTGTATTGATAATTTTTTACAATATCTTCTATTAATATTTCTGTGGAGTTGTTTGATCAAATTTTTCAATGAACAGTGTATAATAATTGAGAAGAATCTTTGAACCCAGTTTCAAAAATCAGGTGTTAATTGTTCCAAACTGCATATAACAGACCTAAGGCTTTCGATGTTTCTTCTTATAGAATTATATAATTAAATGAATATACATTTTCTTAATTATGTACTTGAACAGACCACTTGGGTTGGCAAGACAGAATAGAACGCCTGTCAATGAAAACCGAGGACACATCGGAAGATACATCGGAAGACACATCAGAAGTCGGAAGACCTGTACCAATTGTACTTGCTCATCCGGATCATACGTTCGAATTGAACGAAGATGCCCTAGCAGAAATCCTCCTTCAAGATGATATTAAAGACCGAAGTGTAGTTGTTGTATCGGTAGCAGGAGCCTTCAGAAAAGGCAAAAGCTTCCTGCTCGACTTTTTCCTTCGATACATGAATAATCAGGTACGTCATTCGTGAAATTCAAACGATACAAGAAAGTACCAAATAAAACAATTACGTAAGGAACGAATAAATTTCATCAAGATTATTATCTTAATAAGAATTTGGTACTAGAAAATTCTATATTTTTCACAAATCTTCACATTACATGGCACTGGTTGCGAACGTGTTCATTTTTATTCGATATTTCACAGAAATTTGTAAAATTAACGCTATTAATAATATTTGAAAACAGTATAATAACAATAACCAAACGGACTCCTGGTTGGGTAACGACGACGAGCCTCTGAAAGGATTCTCATGGAAAGGTGGATCCGAACGAGACACGACAGGGATATTAATGTGGTCGGAGGTGTTTCGCGGTACTTTACCCACTGGTGAAAAGGTAGCTGTGATCCTGATGGACACCCAAGGTGCTTTCGATAGCCAGTCAACGGTGAAAGATTGCGCGACCGTGTTTGCCTTAAGTACGATGTTGTCGTCCGTGCAGATTTATAATCTGTCGCAGAACATCCAAGAGGATGATCTTCAACATTTGCAGCTGTTCACCGAGTACGGTAGGCTCGCGTTAGAAACATCCGGTCGTAAACCGTTCCAAAAGCTGCAATTCTTAGTAAGAGACTGGAGTTACCCGTACGAGGCGAAATACGGTGCCAATGGTGGTAATCAGATATTGCAGAGGCGATTGGAAATTTCTGATAGCCAACACCCGGAACTACGTAGTCTCAGAAAGCATATCAGATCTTGTTTCTCGGATATATCGTGCTTCCTGATGCCACATCCGGGCTTGAACATTGCCACCAATCCTCACTTCGACGGTAGATTAGCAGAAATTCAATCTGAATTTAAAGAACAGCTGAGAGTGCTGATACCGATGTTGTTGGCACCGGAAAATTTAGTAACGAAGAAAATCGATGGTCAGGTTGTAAAAGCAAAGGATCTGTTGGAGTATTTTAAAAGTTACATGAAAATCTATCGGGGAAATGAGCTTCCTGAACCAAAAAGCATGTTGGTGGTAAGTGTTATTGTGTAACCTTCTCTAAAGAAGGAATGAAGACAGATGGTAGGAAGCTCCTTCCTTTATCTTTCTCTTTGAACAAGGAAAATCAATTTCTTTTAAATTTCTTTAGGCGACAGCAGAGGCAAATAATTTAGCCGCAGTTACAGAAGCCAAGGAGCTTTATATGCGATCAATGGAAGATGTTTGCGGAGGAAAGAAACCATATGTAGCAACGGCATATCTTGAAACGGAACATATGCGATGCGTTGATCGAGCTATTAGTATGTTTCAGAATAAAAGAAAAATGGGTGGTGATGAGTTTAGCAGAAAGTATATGCGCAGATTGAGGCAGGTAAGGCAGGGTTGTGAATGTATTCCTTCGGGTGTTATATTATTTCCCGAAAGTGAATATAAATATTTTGGTTTCAATTAATTACAGGATATGGATTCAGCTTTCGATCAATTTAAGTCTCAGAATGAAAATAAAAATGTCTTTAAATCAGCACGATCTGCAGCAGTGTATATTATTATTGCTATTGTTTCGTACTTTTTCTCTGTAGTATTTGGTTTTACGGGCTTATACACAATGGCAAATATTTGCGGCTGTGTCGTTTGGATTTCTATAGTAGCACTTATCATATGGGCATACATTAGGTATATACAGTATTTATTATTTATTTGATTTTCTCCTTGATCTCGTTTTTTTCTGTGTTTAATCAAGGATTCTCTTTATCGATTCAGATATAGCGGTAATTATGGACTAATGGGTGGTTTGATAGATGATGCAGCTAATTTTATCTGGAACAATGTAAGTAATGTATTTTTGTCATTCGCATACAAATATTGGTATCTGAATTCTTTCAGCAATATTAGTCTATGGTACCTGCATAGTCTCTGCAGTCATAATGATAATAATATTTATTTTACATTTAACATTCATTAATTCAGTAATAAATGTTCATGCGATACTAACTAAAAATATTAATAAATTTCCTGTTTTTCATTTTGTCTTTTCTCAACGTAAAACGCACATTTTTTAACATTCATGTCGCATCGCTATATCACGCATATATTCTAAATACAGGGTATCGATTATTATCACGAGACAAATTAGAATATACAAATTTCTTGTGGCAGAGAAATTAACTGGTTCTTTACCATTTGACAATTTAAGACTCGGTTCTTAAAGTATGGACATTACAGTTCAGTGATTCAGTTTTTGGTACGTGATATTACAAAGTTAACGAATTGATGTTTAACGAATTGATATTCGCACCCACGCACGAGCGCACACATTGTATCGTTGTAAATGTAAATCATTTGTAATCATTTTCCTCACTTTTGTAGTTTTGCACACGTTATATCTTATTTTATTCAATAATATTTTAGCACATTAGTTATGTTGGTGAATTTTGATATGGGATTGTTTCTTCCTTTTTTTCTTTAAGCGTAGACTTAAAATTGCAAAATGGTAAAAAAAATTGTTGGCTTCTTTTGTCACTGATAATTTATATATTCCCAATTGTTTCATAATTTCAACCTTTTGTGTGTTTTGTACATAATTCAAATGAAACAGAATATATTGTGAATCTTTAAATAGATTTTCGATTCATTATTTTGCGCCTTAAAAATGGTCGGAGTTCTTGAATACCCATGATACCATTGCACGTACTAACATATCATGGCATAATGTCCATGATATCTTTCAATCGCAAATATGATCGGTGATCGGTCATTTCCTAATAGACACCTACAATTCTTTGTTCTACATTGCACGTGCTAACGTATAATGGCATTATGACCATGTTATCTTTCGATCGCAAATATGATCGGTGCTCGGTCATTTTGTCATTCCCTAATAGACACCTACAATTCTTTGTTCTACAGGTAACTGTAGCAGCGGATACAATTGTTGTGCTTCTATTGGTTATGGCTGTTTCATCAGTGTGTTCACAATATTCAGCATCTAATTACATTTCTTCTTCTTCTTCACCTCCTACCCTTGCTCATCCTCTTGCTACTTTTAAACAGACATTTCACTTTTTTTTAGAAACCTTATATTCCTTGCCAAAGATTAGTTTTAATATGTTTTCTAACTTATATAATTTGGTCAATTACTAAAAATTTTTTCAATTGTAACTCAGTTTTATTAACAGTATTCACATATGTCTTTCTACTTTTTTTTTTCATATATTATTTTCTCTATGGTTAAAATTATAATTTCGAATTATGTAAATTCAACCTTTTGTTTTTTTTGTTTTTTTTTTTTTTGTTATAAGCTGAATATTAACTGGAGTAAATATACAAGAGGTATGAGTTTACATAATAGTTAACATAGAAATAACTTCAATTTTTTATGCAGTTTTAATGTTCAAGAAAAGATGTTCGGTTATATGTTTTCAGAAAAATAGTACAATGATATTTATAATTGAAGAGAACAATTGCCATCCTCAATCTTCATGCTGTTTTATATTTTATGAAACTTTTGCTTTTTTTTTTCATACAGTTCATGAAACCATTCTACCAACAATTTGCGGGTCAGTCAATGTCCGTAGCGATGGCTGCTGCTGAAATGGCTAGAAATTCGACAATGAATGCCACTGTCACTGCCAATGGCAAGCCTAAGATGACGTAATGTTCATTCCCTTTAAAATCGAATCTCCAGTGCATTAAAAACATACATTAATGTATTGCAACCAATAAGTGGCATAACAAAATTTCATTGTTTTGAACGTTTAATACGAGGCCATAAATAACTTTTGTTAATAATGATTGTTAAGTCACAAAAAGTAAAAAAAATAAGAAAAAAACAGAGAGTGTGTTGGGTATACAAATTAATAACGACTGTGAATGTATATACAGTATATTTTTGATTACAATTCCCTAATAGATTGTTGAAAATCGTGGTTACTAGTATTGTCTATGATTACTACATGCATTGTTAGTGACATAAAATTCCATAATTACTGGTAAATAATACTGTAATTCGAACAAAAACTATTGTCTTAGGGTTGTTAATGTTTATGATCCATTTTAATTATTTCTTTTATATTGAAAAATACAAAATTTCCCAGTAATCATGGTATAACTAGAAAATAAGTTAGTATCACAAAACAAAATTTTTTGTTTGACGTAAAGTATCATATAAAAAAATTTTATTTTATGTTTCTGATTTATTTTCTGAGAAGAAATCAGGCTCTTCTTAGTTTTATACCGTGAGTACTGGAACATGCCGTGCATGTATGTCGAAATAAAAAAGGGAAAAGGGAAACAAAGCAACGTTCTAGCAACAAATACTTTTACATTTTTTAATATTATTAAATTCATATTTGACTTTTTAAGTAGAAAAATATACATAAGCGCATTTCAAGGTCACAAAAGGCGTATTATAATATTTTTGAGACGAAATTTGAACCATATATAGTTTGTATGTTTATGCATCGTTCTGTGTACGAATTAACATTGTTAAATTACATCTGTGCCAGATTTATTCTACATCAGTTACTATTATATTGATTAATCTTTTTTTAATAAACGAAAATGTAAATATGACTCCGTGTTCTTCACGTTTAATAAATTCTGATTAAAATTTATGATATATGTAATTACAGTCAATTAAATACACACATATGCCATGTACTTAGTTTATACGTTTATTAGGATCGTCGTCAAACAAATAAGTAACTACAATTTGTTAACATCTTATGAGCTGTGAATTATATGCTGACAAAAGTGTAAAGGATCACCAATAAAATCATAATTTTACCTTCTTCCTTTGACATTATTGTGTCTTTTTTATGAAACTAAGAAATGAATAAACGTAAGTTTAACATTTTATATTTATCAGCGTAGCTAGTTAAAGGCATAACAACGGTTCATAAGATGAATTTTGTTGTTAATCTGGTATTAATAGTACTCAAATTTGCATGTATAATATGATTGTTGTTTCAAGAAATACTATGCTCGTTGAAAAGTATGTTAATATTTAACCTTCTTGCCAAATAGGAATTAATTTTGTGAACATAACATGTGAGCATAATTATTGAAAAAATAACTCATCATTTCGGCTAGTATTCATTTTTGAGTATATATTAGACAACATTGTTTCTAAAATTAATTTATTATGTTTGTACTTGAATGTTTATTAAAAACGAAGGTTGCAAAGTAATGTGGGATAATGTAGTTTTAAGGTGGTGGTTTAAGTAACATATTGTTTATCAGTTTTTTCTGCCTATTATTGGTTATCTTTACTTTAATATAAAAAATACATTTTAATTTTGTACCTTATTTAAGTATAGGAAATGACAAAATCAATTCACATCTTATACATACTATTTTAATTATTATATAGTTTCGTATAACTATCAAATTAAAATTAAATTATATAGGTGCAGCTGAAGGAATAATTTTTTATTTTGAAATGTAGCACAGCTCTTAATAAATTTTTGTTTAATGTAAAAGTATCTTTATTGCAGCCTGTAACTAATGTAGTAAGTTCATTAAACTATAAAGCAGGAAAAAATACAAGCATAAAGATAACTTTCAAATTTTATTTAAAAACTTGAATACAATTTGCAATATAATATAGTGTGAGTAAGGATTCAAAACATATAGTAAATGATGTAATGTTATATTTTTATCGTTTGATTGTGATGATTCAAATACACTTTTATAACAATATTGTAATAATACGAATGCGGACAAATGTAACCACATAATATTGTTGCATTTTGCAACAATTTTCTTTATTGTACTTTTTAAGTAATTTAAGCTAATTATAGTGTAAATTCTTGTGAATAAAAGTAAATGCATATTTTTTTATTTACAAAATGCAACGGTTTTTTTTTCATTTCTTCATAGAAATGTATCATTGCAAATCAAAAATTAGGTTTTGAACATTCTTCTAATTGTATACTCAAATTTTTGATTTGCTTCTTGTAATTTCTTATTATAAATTAAAAATTGTTCCTTTATTGCAGAGTTATGTGGTTCTAAAGCAGTAGCAATTTTTAAATCATTAACAGCCCTTTCTACATCATTTAAATTTCCATGAGCTACCCCTCTTCTATACAATGCTTTAACATTATTATTTTCCTTATTTAAAACTTTTGTGCACAATGATATAGTATGTTCATAATTCTTACAATTTAATTGACATCCAGCCATGTTGTTGTATAATACAAGTCGCAAATTATTAATATCACTTTCTAATTTTGTATCTAATTCTAAATCATGTATTGGCTCTAATGTTATAAGAATTTTACAAGCTTTACTAAATCTATGAAATGCATCTACATATCTACATTCTTTAAATAAATGAACCCCCATCTTTTTGTATTTTAATGCTATTGAATATTTCTCTTCAGGTGTCCATTCCCAAATTGGCTTGTATGGTTCTATCTTGTTCATTATTGTTTCAACTGTAATAGTTATAGGTTTACATAATGATGGAAGCACAGTAATTAAACTCATTTCAAAGACATTCATCATTTGAATTGCTCGTTCAATTTGGCGATCTATTTCACAATTAGCTTCACCAATAATTAATGTTTTCCTACTTGAGCCATCTAAAATTTCAGATTTAAACTCTTTCTTCAAGTCTTCTACTGAGGCATTGACAACATTTACAGTTCCAATACTAATTTCGCATTTGGAACATTCTGTCGGCTTTTTAGAAAAATGGCCTGACTTTGCTACTTCTTTTCTCACAATTTTATCTAAGGATTCCCATGTTTGAAGTATCATGTTGTACATTAATAAATCTTGCCTGCATATACATACAAGGTAATTTAAATTAACAACTCGATTGGTTACATTCTACTACTGTCAAACTGTTATTTAGTATACAGTACATAAAATACATACTATATTGTATTAATAGACTTATAGACACTTTTGTATGTAAATAATATTATATGAAACAGAGAATGATTATGTATTCGACGTCCCTAATTTCAAGATTTTAACCTATAAACGTTGAACAAAGCGCATGCGTATATGGCATAGTTATAACTATAATTAATTTAACAAAAAACAAAAAAATTGGTTATTAAATATTAGAGAAATTTAAAGAGATTAAGATAAAAGTATTTCAGTTTAATTCGTAATGTAATGTACTAATAGTTATTAAATAAAACTGTGTGCAAGGTCTTATTATTAGTTTGGAAGTATGATTCAAATTTCGTAACACGAATTCTCGTAATATAATTGGTCCATCTTATAGTGCATATACAGCTTTACCGTGAAAAAGATTGGATCTGATTGGTTCAAATTCTTCATTTTGTATTGTGTGTTGCGAGTCCGCTGTGTGATTGTTTATAAGTGTCTAATTTTTTAAATATTCTTTATTCTAGTATTTCATATAAAATCATTGTTATTATATACGTAAATATTTTAAGAAACATTTAAAGTGTGAATTTTCAAGACTGGGATTCACTATCTGGAAGACGGGATAATCGGTAAGTTAACAGTTCACATTTCATAAATAATGTTGAAACATTTTAATAATCTTCATTAATGTATTCTAATTGTATCAATAAGAAAGTATAAGTCGAAAGATATTAACAATTTATTTTATAGTCGGTTTCTATTAACTTTTGTCAATCTATTGTTTATAAAATATTATTTGAAGGATTAATAACATAAAGGTTACTTATTTACAAAAATTTTTATATATTTGCATTAAATTATACAGAATATAATTTAGTCCACCTAGTACTAACTTCCCACAGCCATTTTGCAATTTGATCATTCTTTGCTTCATCAGAAATATCTCCTATTTTGCAATTGCTAAAAAAAAAATAGTAATAAATTAGTTATGTTACTTATAGTTAGTTATATTGAAACTTACTTTAAATAAGCCCCAGTTACATCTTTTAATGATGGATCTATGGCTGCAAATAGAACTGGCTGTGCTCCTTTAGCAGGTGTTTTAACAAATATCCATAATATTGCATGTATAAGGAACCTACAAATTTTGTTCTGATAGACATCCATATGTCGCATTATCTCTGTGTTCACTATACCAGGATGAACAGCATTAACTGTAACACCAGTGTCTAGAACCCATTAAAGATAAGCAATAAACCAACAGTGATATTTAAGAAACATATTTTGTGATAGAAATTTCACTTGATACGAATATTATACCTTTCAAGCGATTTGCTAACTCTCTTGTGAATAAGATGTTAGCTAATTTACTTTGTGCATATGCCATTCCAGGGTCATAGTTTTCTGTACTATTTAAATCTTTTAATTTAATTTTACCACGTTTATGTGCAGAACTTGAAACATTTATGATTCTTGATGGTGCAGAATTTTTTAAAACATCTAACAACAAATTTGTTAGTAAAAAGTGTCCCATATGATTTACACCAAGTTGCATTTCAATTCCTTCTTTGGTATAGCTTTTAGGACATCTCATTATTCCTGCATTGTTTATAAGAATGTGTAGATTGTTGAATTCTGTAGTTGAAATAAAAGAAACAAATTAGGTTATCTTTTTGTTTAAAAACAACTGCCAAGTAAATCCATACTTAATACTTAGTACCTTTTTTAAATTGATTTACAAATTCTCTTATGCTTTCTTGAGAAGCTAAGTCACATGGCCTACAGTAAACATATTTATTCTTTGTTTCCAATACTATTTCACTGCGTGCCTGAAAAATATAAAAGAAATATTTAAATAAAACATTAAAATGCTCAAATTTAGCAAACAAAGAGTTAATGTAATTAAATATTATGATACATTAACAGGATCAATGCAAAATTTGTAGTTTATGTATAATACAAATAATAATATTAATACAGTTTCACATTTCTTCATATCTCTGCAAGCCATTAAAACTTTGGCTCCACGTTTAGCTAAATCACGAGCTACTTCTTTACCAATACCAGTATTTGATCCAGTTATTACAGCTATTTTATCATCCAATCTTTCTTTTCCCTCGTATCGAGCCCCAGAAAAGTAGTCTCTGTGAAGAATAAAATGCATAACAATATGTATATCTTATATATCAAAGCTTAATTAAATGTTAAATTATGAATTTATTGTTTCAAATAATACTTCAGTATTAAAAATCTAAATACTATACTTCAGTAAATAACCTCCACCAATAATAGTGGCGCCGAATGAATAATAATAAAAAGGTTTAGGAATTGTCCATTTCATTTTAACAAATGCAAAAAAAAAACAATAAGTTAAAAGTATTCAGCAATAATATTAATAATGTATTGTTAGAATGCACTGTGTTTTTATCCAGCAAATAATTTCAGTGCACCATAGTACACATGCATTGAACCAGCAGGCATTATGCTTTATTCACAAGTTATAAAAATAACTTGTAACTTGAAATTATAAGATAACAATTTTTATGAATATGTTTTCAACACCGAATTCATGCCAGTAAATTTAATAAAGTTTCAGCGATGAAATACAATTTGAATTCAAATATTCATTTATGTGTCATATCCTTAAAGCATGTGTGTGAATGTATATGTATACCGCAGTTCACCAGAGTCCATAACTGCGAAAAGACCAGTTTTCGTTCTTTGCGCTTCTCCAGTGCGCATCTTCGCCCTGATTGGCGATACTCCCCAACGAAATGGAAAGCGATTAGCAGAGAGCTCGCTGCGTTCCCCCACCATCTTCCAACCTGCGCGTCGCAGTTATGGACTCTGGTGAACTGCGGTATATGTAACACACCTATGTATGTGGAATATACTTATTATCCATTTATCTAAAGCTTGTCATTTAAATTTGAACATATTGTACATATATTATCTAATTTTTGTATAAATACTGTTGGTTAATATGTCGTTGAGAAAAGTATTGTGTTTTGTAAGGGATGCAAAAATATTGCAAAGAATGTTTGTTAATAAAAACTTTCTTTTATCACAGAAGGTTTGTAATTATATTTAAATTTAAATACTTTAATCTTTGTGTTAATTTTTCAACATTACATAACATTCTTAAACTTCATTTTAATTAGAGAAATTGTATATCTATAATATTTGTTGGCTATGTCTCAAAATGTATAAATATGCTATTTAATTTCAACAATGTATTGTACAAAAGATTATGTACAATATGTAATTTGTTTGTATTATTAGAAGAATAATCAGTATCTAGTGGCTACACAATTGTTTACATTATCATTTACTGGCATGAGTATTTGGAGCTTTACTAAAAATAAAAGTGAAAATGAAGCTGTAATAACCACCAAAGAAGTTTTAATAGGAAAGGCTGATGCAATGTTTGATCAAGAAAAATATAAGGAAATATATGATCTTTTGACAAATTATAAAGTAAATATGCCTTTAAATTAAGTCTGAATGCAAGTATCTATAAAATGTCAGATAGATAAAATGGATGCTTGTAGGATAGCAGGGATGTTGAAATTATATGGCGTTTATGTAGAGCTATGTATAAAATGTCCAAAACAGCCAGTGATGTTGAAGCAAAACGACTTGTTTATGAAGCATTTGGCTTGATACTTGATGCTCTTGAAATTAATGAAAATCATTGGGCTGTACAGAAATGGGCAGCAATTATTCTGAATGCTAAATGCAGTTATGAAGGTGTGAAAGCACTAATGAAGGAATCATATAACATTAAGCATCATATGCTGGTACATCTATTTTATATGAGTTTTCAAATATTTTATTCAGTAGTTTACCAGACAAATGAGAACTTTTAAAATATGAATCTGTATTTATTGTAGAAAGCAATAGAGCTAAATGCAAATGATGCAACAATTATGTACATGTTAGGTACTTGGTGTTATCAAGTAGCTGATTTATCATGGTATCAAAGAAAAATTGCAGCAATAATATTTGGAGAGCCACCAACATCTTCTTTCCAAGAAGCTTTAATATACTTTGAAAGTGCAGAAAAAGTTGATCCTTATTTTTATAGTCACAATTTATTAATGCTGGCAAAAACATATTTAAAATTAAATAACAAGGAGCAGGCTATGAAGTACTTGAAAATGGCTGTTGAATATCCTGCTAAAAATGATGATGATCTCATTGCTAAGCAAGAAGCACAAAAATTATTGAAAAGTGTATAACATGATCTCAGTACAGATTAATTTCTGTATGTCTTGTATAAATAATAACTGATATTATTTTAAAGTAAGAATCAACGTGGTGTAAATAGTTGGGTAATATCATAGGGTAAAAAATAAATGTAGAAATTATTATTTTTTTTAGGTACTGAATTTTAATTAAGAAGAAAACACATGTGTTATAACATGATTTTTTACATATAAGCTCTCTATATATATATACAGGTATATATAATATATATACAAATATATGTGTTTTATAAACTTAATAAGATTAACATTCCAAAAGTATTATTTTATAAATCACTATTTTATGACATATATAAGATTAATGATTGCATAATATTAATTATTTAAGTATACACCTATCCCCTGATTTACACGATTTCGCTTTTACACGTTTCTTAAAATAACGGATTTAAAAACAAAACCAGTAAAAGAAATTTTGACTGCATACATATTTCTACAGTCATTTTCTTATCCCTGTGGCTCGGGGATCAGAATACGGCCACGGCAACCCCTGCCTGTCGTAAGAGGCGACTAAAAGGGGGAGGATAGGTGTATTGCATATCTGGCATATTTTTTTATAATTTATGTTTTTGTATCGTGTGTGCAATATATAAAATATACATTTTTCACTTACATCTATGGAATAATATTTAATACTATTTTTCAATATACACGTTTCTGTGCAGTACTGTGATCAGTAATTGATAGAAATTTCTATCTACTTTGTCAATTACAATATACACTTTCTAGTACAATGAATAAATCTTCTCAATAGTGATGATATCGCGTCAAATTATTACCGATTGGTACTAATTTATCGGTCAACGTCTTCTTGGATACTGTTTATTTGCATCCTCTCATTAGCTTTTCTATTCGACATTCGTCCAAGTCTTAACCGCAAACGCACCTGGGGCAATCCTGGTACATGGGGTTGCCCACGAGCGTCCATCGGTTCATTTCTCATCATGTGATTTAGTAAAACGTTTCGATCAACAGTGAAATGTGTCCTGTGCGTACCACACGGGCACATACAGTAGAGCAAAACGTGATTCGGTGGCAGTGATAATACCGAGGTTGATGCGATGCGAAATTCAGCGGTTCCATATTGATGAAAATTCTGCACGACTGGAATCATTGTTGATACTTTTCTGTAACAAAAAGAGCAAAAGAGATATTAAATTGGCTCTTCTAGTGCAACTTATTCCATAAAAATTGTTCTTAGTCGTTGGTAATTTAACATAAAATTTAACATAAAGAAAATTGCAGTTCAGTCGTTTAAATACTATCCATTAGAAATCACATTAACGATATTAAATGATAACTCACCGTTTCGAATATGAGAATACGTTCGATACGTTCTGTTTCGTGTTTGCACCAAAAATAATATTACCAACTAGTTGGTCACTTTATATAGTCAGCAGGTCTGTCGTATTGTCGCCATTAATGTGTCCATCATTATCCATATTTTCGTTCATAGTACTTTGATCGGTTACCTGAGCCATGCTGGTCAGAATTTCCAATGTTTTCCCATTACGTGTACTCTGAAGAGGTACCTGGGTTTTGGGTCATTTATTGCTTTCATTCATCTGTTTGTATTATGGATCGTTATTAGACTAAACGTTAGTTTACGACTTGGTACACTAATTAAACGTCTACGAAATGAGAACGTGATAATAGAGGTAGATAATAAACAAAACGGTTTTAAGAAACGTGCGTTTTCATTTATTAGTCGTCGAAGGAATCGGATACACTGCTTACCGTTATAATTTACGCTCTTTAATAAATAATAACTTACGCATTGTTTCTACGAGACGTGGAAAGCCTGTATACCACTGGGCTGTTAAATTATTAAGTTGTTGCGTATGAAATGACCTAGTTGATAACATAAGATGTTTAACATAATTATCACGAAAGAAAAGTGTCATTTTGTACAAACTTGAATGAAAATATTCCGCGACGAGAGCTCTTGCTAATTTAATATGATCATAATTTAAAAATATAGATTTTGTGAAAGGTTTTGCGAATAAATCGGTCATTTCATTTACAACAATCTGGTAGTAGGTAATTCGATCGAGCGGTTGTTTATACGTGTACTTACATTGATATAGTGTTCGTTAGTGTTACAGGTATCTTACAAGCTATTTGAAATATTTTTTTCTAACAGTAATCGAATGGTAGAATTTATACAGAATTTTATACTGACAAAAGGAATTGATCGTGTATCATTATTTATATGGTCGCATTAATTACATCAATAAAAATCGAAAATGTTACTTCTTTGAACATTACTCATCGTCTATATAAATACACTATAGTATCCTTTGGGTTACAAATAGTACCTTTCACTGGGGTTGATTTATACGGGTTACTCAAAGGGAGGGTGTGAATCAATTTGTTTGACAAAACAAAGGCGTAGAACCTCTATCGATTAATATTTCAATATTTTTCTGAGTATTTTGTATTCTAAATGAATAATCCAAGTCCTACTTGGACGTTCTAATTATCACATACCTACTTTCCTCGTTTAACAATGTGAATATCGAGTTCACAGGCTGAAATATCGTCCGTATGATTACACAATATCGTTTATTAAGAATATCGTTCATCGTATTAAATAATAAAAGAACTATACAAAACTTACGTGTACTTCGATCGTTTATTTAGGTCGAAATTAACGAATACATTATGATTACGGGATGACAGTGTTAAATTATCGTTGATCTCGGTTGTTTCGCGTTGAAATTCTTTTCCGAGTCGCGTTTATCGATGTCGGGCAGCTCTTCGCGGCCAGTTGCATCTACTAAATATTTACATGATCGCACGCCGGGATTGCAAATACGTTCGATCGTTTATTTGCACGTGTACTCTTCGGTACGTTCGGTGCATGTCTCGCAATGCACGCGACAGCACCAGTGAAATTTGCATCTGCACTGCCACGTTCTTGTAAATTGATGCGTGTTGTACCCGCGACCGCAACACATCAAATCGCATCCGTCGGTACCTGAAAAATTTGCGATTATTACAATCCATTTCTAGGCTAATCTCTTTAATGGCACAATAAAGTTAGAGGTAATGATTCACTCTGGGTAGATATGTTTGTATTTCTATGATTACTACCATCGCGAAAAACAGTAGAATGACGAATGTATGTTTCGTTTTCCAATAAATTATAACCGCGGTACGTTTACAAGCTCTATTTGTATCTCAGGCAATCATTCCAGTATCCGCTCAATGAAACAGACCATTAATTATTTCAAAGAGAAAGCTATTATGTCGTGCAAACAAAGCAGGATATTTTCGCAACGGTATTAATTATGATTAAATGGTCATTGAATTGAATTCACCTTTGCTAGTACGATTGCAATATCTGCCCTGTGTTCCGAGGCTGCCCTGTACCAAATCCGGCTCGCAGTAATTAGGGGAAGGCTGCAGAAAAACCAGCTCGCTTCTCTTTGGAATCCTTTTCTGTCCCACGCTTGATCCACCGTTAGTTTTCGTTCTCTTCAGTACCAAGTGCGGCCTTCTCGGTTTAATGGCCTTCTTTGGGGGTTGTCGATCGCGTCGGGATTTTGCAAGATCGTTCGGTTTCCCTTGGGTTTTCGCGTCGTTTCCCAAAATTGGCACCATTTCCGCCGATGTTGAGTGCAGGGTGTCTAAACTCTATAAACGAAAAGAATAGAATATTTTTTATCTATTGAAAAACACAAGAAAAGACGAGCGTTTCACTCGGAATGGTATTAAATTCAATTTAAAGTTGCAATGTTACAAACGAGTCGAAACAACGTTGACCCAGTTTTACGAGATATTACCTGCATCGTAGGGGGTGGTGGCGGTGTAATGGCTATCACGGGCCTGGCTCTGTAATATTTTTTCATCAGGGCATCGCCAATCTGACGAAAACTAGGCAACGTTCGCCAGCAGGTTCTCACGGTGCACGAACCGGAGACGCCATGACATTTGCATTCTGTTTGTAACAAGGCTTTAACTATCTGTAAAAGAACGATATTCATGTAATCCACAATGCAATCGTACCATTTTCTGCATTAATGGCGATGGAATTTGATGATTGGAATAATGTAAATTTCGTTGGAATTCTATCGTGATAACTTATTAGCCAATCCGTATCTAAGATTGAAAATCTTCAGAAGGGGGCTATAGGATTTAGACTTTCTGTCACTTTTGTACAGGTCAAATAGTAAGAGTTATCAAAAAAATTATTGTTTAGTGGGTCAAAATTTCAACGAATGGCCGAAAATTTTTTTTTTGCCACTTCCGGTCTGATCGGAAATGACAAAAAAAAGAATTAGAAAAAAAATTCAATTATTATCTTTCAAACTTTCAATACGTTCGTTTCATTGTCCCTTCGATCATTACGCATCCACCATTTCTCGTTCAGAAAACTGGTTTACATTTCGAATTATCGCGGGAGACAGACGGGAATGGTGTTGGGGCAAAGGTGGGTTGAAAAAAAAAATAAAAAAAAAAATTCGTTCAGGGTATAAAGTATGCGGCGAGTCGAGGCAGGGCGAGGCGAGGCGATCGACGTTAAGGATAAATCGTTAGCCGGTGTGTCTGTACTCGCAACGGATCGTACGAGCACGCACGATATATGCGTGTTTTTATTGCCGCCTCGATAATAAAGCCCATCGAAGAAAACGAAAGCTCGACGAACTTTTCCCAATTAAGACGCCTCCATTTGTGCGCCCTACCTGCGGCATAACGTGATCCTTTCTTACAAACGACCCTATCTTCTTCTTCCCTTCTTCATTCGTTTACCAACTGCTATTGGCCCGTGAATTTCTATTACCGTCGGATCCGAGAAAATTAATTTCAATTCTCTATAGAAATTGAACGGAGTTCGTTAATGACCGTTGGAGGGATTTAAGGGATCAGGGGTTGCGTTTCCGGGGATAAGTTGGGAGAATTTATTGTTAGTTATTATATGACTATCTCAAGAATTGCGTTTCTAAAAGTAAGTTTTGACAATGTATGACTATATGATAGTATATTATTACACCAGGTATTTTATACCTGTCATTACAAAGAGCAATCGATTTGCAGTATAATGCGAGAAAATCGATAGGTATCGAACAAGCCACGTTATTGATTGACCCTACGGTTTATGTGAAATTTACGGAGACAAAGAAATGATACAGAGGTGCGTTAAGTACCATTTTCTACCTGACCTCTTAAGAATTTGCAGAGTTTACTGAACTCGAATGGGGCAGGTTCAATTCATGACAATTTATTACTCGTAATAAATTATAGAGCGCGCCTTGTATGGTTACAAAATTTTTTGTTCCGTTTTTCAGGCATTTTTAATAATTTAATAACTATTAGTAATGTACATATTAAGCGTTTAATAATTATGTTTCGTGTATGCATACGCGTGGGTCATCGTAGATCTTAATATAAACTCGTGTTACCTTTCGTCCAGCCTTGTTATTATGAAGGTTCATCAGGCTCCTCGCGTCACCCTCCACCTCCCTCGCGTCCAGAAACCTACGCGCGAACCTAACATTAAATTGTAATATTAAAATCCATGCGCGTATAACAACTGCCGTGACGTATAGTTACATCAATGGAGGTTTTACACGCACGTGGCGGGCGTAAAAAGGAAACAAAGTAGGAATTCATTACGAATTCTGTTAATGATCTCACCTCATGCCGTAGGTAACATCTGCGCTACAACCACCCCATTCCCAGCCATTCGGTGGCAGTTCCTTTTTCGTTCTGTAACAAAGGCATTCAAAAGAATTGAAAGCTACCTTCAAACGCGTTTAAAATATACGATACGCAACGGTAAATTGCGTTTAACTATGTGGCAGGAATAAAATATAAAAGCAAAAGGGTTAGAGAGTTTACCTTACGGTGGGTTCGCAACCACACGCGGTGATATTGCCCCTGCTGCAAGCTGCGGTCACGGCGTACGTTACACCCGCTGAACTTATTGCGTACGTGAAAGCTGCTTCCCTGCTTCCTGAAATAGATCAGTTAGAAATTTCCTGTTAGTTCTACCATCGAAGCAGGTCTGTCCAGTTCGCGTGGTAGGTAAGAAATGCGTATAGGGATTTCAGGCTATGCGAAACAAGATGCAAACGTTCCTCGTTTTTCAGGGTATTGTGGCAAAGAAAAAGAATTTTTTGAAAAAGGATGCCTAGGGGATGTATACCTGCACATCCAATCTAGGTATTCAGTATAATCCGTCCAACGAGAGGAGTCAGTATACATGTTTATAAATTCACGCGTTCGACGCAGGGTCGAGCACAGTTGTTTCCAGTTCTTCAAACGCTTCGGTCGAACTCTGTGTACTATGAGCCGAGCCTGCTTCGAGCACGTGAATTTCTATACATTTACTGTCTCGTCTTGTTGGATGGTCTCTAACAATAAATGACAGTAGGTACTCTTTTGTTAGTACTCTTTTTGGAAATTAAAAATTTTATTTTTCACCATCTTTATATAACTCCTCAAACGACCTCAGGTTTAATATCGATTACCACCATTTTGTCCTTTCTTTAGAAAAATCTTTATCCATGATAAAACTTTCTTTCCTTGCCATTCACTTTCAAGATTCATGTACCTGTCGTTTTGATGCTTATTAAGCTCAAGACTCAAGACACAACTTTCGTCCAATTCGTCCGGTCGGCGCACATTTTAATCCCCCTGGCGCGATCCGATCTACTTCATTTCGTCGACAAGCATGATACATCAAGCGTGTAAACCCACACTGTCCCCTAGCGTTTCCGTCACGCTAATTTACAGCTATCCGACACAAGTACAGCCGCGTAAAGCGCGACCACAATTAATTACCCGCGGAGCTCTTTCAGCTCGTTTGCCATGCTGAATGAGTTATACACCGTCGCGTTCCTTTCTTCTCGATCCTTGATCTTTTTTTTTTTTTTTCTTTCTCTCTCCTTCCTCTTACTTTCTTCCCCGTCTGTGTTACAGTACCGCTCGTCGCGTCGTTTCAAACACCTACGCGATATTGTCCCATGTCCGAGTTGATTCGCGTTCGTTCTGGCAGCAGCCATCAACCTCGTCCAACTTTAATTCGAACGTCAGGATATCGCCTGTTACACCGACGCCTAATTATCGCGTGTAATAAAACTTCCATACCCATAAGCCGGCCCCGGAGGCATGCTTACACGCTTTGACAGCGTAATTTTCACGGCCGATCAAATCTTATCGTTGCTCTCGATCTTCGTTGCCTCGCTCTCGCCTCATTTTTTACCTTTATTTCGATCCTTACCCGTTCTTGCTCCATGTTTTTTTTTTTTTCGATCGATCGATTACCAGCCCGTGGAAATTGATAATTCAACGGTTATGCGAGGAATGCGCACGACGGATAACGATAAAACGATGTCTACGGTGATTTGTTACGAGCGAGACGCGTTTAGCTCTGGTGACTTTAACGAGTGGATAAGGGAGAACCTATATACTCAACCCCATAATAATTAATTTAATAATTATTATAATTGCATAAAGATTGAGTTTAATAATAATTTTCTGCGAAGACAGTATTATTGATTCAGATTCAAGCAAATGTATAATATATTCATCGTTTAAGTTTAAATCATGATCGTCAGCAGCGCAATATTCGACACTGCGTTTCGTTGCTACATAGCAATAAAATCGCTCGTAAAACCGACTCATTGGAGAGAAATGAAATTTCGAAACGAAACACGTGTCTTCGATTTCGAGGATTTCGAGGATCGCGATATCCTCCTGTTTTATCTCTTCGATTTGTCGGTCGTCAGCATCGAGATCGAAAAGATCCGGTTAACTGTAATTACAGCGGATCTTCCTACACGCGGTTGTACGATAATATTACCTGCGAGTCGATGTTTGTTATGCTCACGGTTATAATTCATAGTGATCGACACGGGTTCGGCGGAGCGCATATTGTGAAAGTAAATATACCTACGTGCACGCACTTTCGCGAAGTCATTCCGTTTCATTTTTGCCCCCGGATCGTGATCGAGCACGAACCACTGTGGGGTAATTACCTTGAAAGCCGTGCGCGAAATGCTCGCCTTCTCGCACACTAGGTCGAAATTGTTCCCGAATAAAAACTGGTCAAATGTCGAGTGACTCCTTTCGTTCCGCGTTTAATAACGGACACTTTCTTTGCTGCATCACGGTTATTACGCTTCACCAGTCGATTACCTGATGTATACTTTAGTGAAAAAAAAAGAGTAATTGTTGCTTCGTGAGAGTACTCGCGAGAGATCTTTTCGTTTTTTCTTAGAAATCTATAATGTTTGCCGTGTGAATTAAGTATGAGGTGTGTTTAAGGAAGAGCGAGTAATCGTTGTCGAGGTATTCAGGTTGCCGGTGAATTCTCACGTAGCGGCATGTATTGTATGTTGAAACGAAAAACAAAAATTATGTAAAAATGACATGCAGACAAAATTTACTTAAGAAAGTAGGCATACAGAATTATCAAGAGACTCGATAAACTTCTTACGTTCAAATTAGCTTTAATTAAGTTTAATTGCGTAATGCAAACAAAAAGGAATTATGATGTTTACGGTGATTTAATCGTACGATGAAGTTTAATTGAGTAACGCAAACAGGAAGGAATTATGATGTTTGCAGTGCTTTGATCGATCATAAAGCATGTACAGTTCTGGTGACTTTAACGAGTGGATAGAGAGATATCAAGATAGAACTCGAAACTTAATACAGTTAAATCCCGTTCAACGTTACTTCAATTATAGCTGATTATCTATCCCAGTGTCTTTCGTGATATTAATTAAATCATTCTACGGCTGGATTTTACCTGTTCGCGTGAAAATGACGTGCGAACGCCGCGCCGGTTGAGATACGCGAGGAGCTGTTGTTAGATAAAGTGCATCGCGTGCAGCTGCCTACACGCGCGCGATGCAACCCTCGGTGTTCTTATTGTCAAGGAGCGGTTCCTTCGAACCGGGACGGGTCCTCCTCGTCGCTCTGTCGGTCGACAGAAGAGAAAAGCGAAGGCGTTTGCGGCGGGCGCCATGATCGTAGTCGCAGGTTATAACGCGTTCGAGATCCGTATCTCTTCGCGATCGGCTCGTTGATTTATAAGACGCCAACCAACAGATCGGTATCTGCCCCTCGTTCCTCCGTGTCCCGATCCGTCCAATTTATGTAGCACGCGACATCAACGATGAGAACCGAAAACACTCGCGACCAGAATTTCTGCTAGCTGAGTGTTTTAAAGAAGTGTTTTTAATTTTCAATCCTTGAAGTGAATATGTGCAATTAAAAAAAAAATTGTTAGTTAATTAGCAAATTAGTGGCCACAAGAAATGTTGTCCATCGTTGACAAGAAAATTAAGTTTATCGACGTCGTAACGTCGCTTCTCGACTCAGAAATCGTTCCAACGAGCGGTCGTACGATTTATCGATCAGCAGCTCGTTTTCTCGCTAGTGAACAACCGATCGTATGCACGGCTACGATGGTGGACAGATCGGTCACAAGGCTGATGAATTTATGCGAAGCGTTTATGTCAAAAGACGGCAGCGCGTACATCTATTTAGTGTCGGAAGACGGTAACGGGGAAATTTATCGTTTCGTCGGTGTTCACCGCGACGGCCGGCTCAATGGAAGGGGGAAAAAGAGATGGCCTTTCCATAAATTCATTTCAGTTGTAAATTGTGAACACGCCAAATGAGCACCGCCTCCATATTTGGTCGCGACTCGCGGCGATTACGAAGGCCTCAGTCTATGAGTATAGAGGGGGTGTATACAGGGTGCATTGCGATTCTTTATACTATGGAGTTATTCATAGTTTCAAAATTTTCCACAGAATTAGGTTCTGTATGAAAAAATTTGATTCATTTATATACGGAAAATTAATGTACATACCGCGTTATGCACCCTGTGTAAGACTGTATATCTTGTTGGCCGTGTACTTATTAACGTCTGGAAATATTACAGACCCCTTGGTCGAACGACACGAAGCTATACTTCTCGCAACATGAAACACCGTCTCATGAAATACTGAAATAGGTTTATGCATTTCTCATGTAGATTTTCATACAGTTTTTCTGAACAAATATTCGCTTCGGGGTTGTTTTGAAAGAAGATTAGAATCAAGTATTCTTTGTTTTATATTCTATATTTTTAACATCTGAAAACATATTGTAATTTCATTTTCTAATTGCAAGTGTCACGATTGAAATAGGGATTGTATATTGAATATCACCATCTTTCTTCGACCAATGTAAGATTCAATATCGATATTAGAAACTGATAAATTGACCGAAGACGTTTATACACCTAAGATATATTAATATATGCAAATAGAATATGTCAAATATGCAAATGTAATTATATGAACGTATGCTATTTGTACCTATGTGAAACGTATGATAAGTGTAGGTACTGGATGTATGTTCCAATAATAATACAACTTTTATTATTCGAACGTTATTGAAACAAGCAGTGCCTACTTATATAATTAGCGAAATTAACAAGAAATAATCTATTGTGAAGAAAATTAAATTCCTGATAGCTGAGCAACTGTGTCACGTATGGAAATACATTGTGTTGTAAAGTATGTCTAAATGAACATATAACCGGTAAATGGTTTGCTGCGGTAATAAAGCAACGGTGTAAAGCCTGAAAAGGAAAGGTTCGATTCGTGTTTCGCGATCAATCCATGGACACAGGCGTCTTTTAATTTATATCATCGCGTTTTAAGTGACTCGCGTAATGGTCGTAGGAAATTTACAAGCGGCAGCATCCTGCACGTGGGCGATTGTTTACGATGATTGAGGGGCACGAATTTCATAACGAATTTCATTTCGTCATGGAGCCGACCGGTCGATTATTAACGCGATGAATATGCAAACAGAGACACGGTTTTTCTTTTTCGTTAATTCTTACACACAAGTTTCTGCTGTTTCAAATTTCTTTTCTAATACAAAAAGAGAGAATTGAAGTTTTTGACGATCTATCATTCTTAACGACCTATTCATTCGAAGCTAAAA